TTCAATGGCCCGGTGGGAGGATGCTCTGAGCAGCCAGGGATACTGAGGCCAGAGGAATCATTACTTCACTTGCAGACTGGAAGGCACCTCGGTGTGTACTGCTTCTTTCCCTCAAACCCAACGATAAAGTTTTAGATGACAGTATAAAACATGGCACAATACGTGTGCAAATTGCCAATAGCCGTAACTAATATTTTCAGAGTACTTATTTGTATGAGGACCTTTGAAGTGCTTTGAATCATCTCATTTAAATCTCACTACAATCCTTTGAGATAGTCTAATTATGGACATTTTACACATGAGGAAAGGGAGGTTGTTTCTAGAAGATCACTCCCCGACATCTAGTAAGAAGTCGCACCAGGCAGTCTGACCCAGAATCACCATAGCTGAAAACGGCTTGGAGTCCAGCGTAGGGTTGCTCTGGGCATGCATGCAGGATCTCAGCACAGAAACTCAGACACGCAGCATTCTCAGAAGTCAGAGAACCACCCTGAAGTGTGTGGCTAAGTTCGTAGGGTGTCATCCTACAAACAGAAAGGTCACCGGCTCAATTCCTGGTCAAGGCGCATGCCTAGATTGTGGGTCCGGTCTACAGTTGGGGCACCTACACAAGGCAATTGATTGATGTTTCTCTCCATTTCTCCCTCCCTCCCCCTCTCTAAAAATACATAAATAAAATCTTTAAAAAAAAAAGAAATCAGAGACTCATTACAGCTAGATTTTCTATGAACATTCTCTAGTGAGGGTACATAGCTCTACCTGAGGTTCCAGACAATGCCCATTGTTGCACAAAGGCAACACACTGCACTCCTGCCAGCACCGCCACCACCACGGTGGTGGAATACACATATAGGCTGTGAGTCAGGAACCCCAGAGGTCATCGTTTCCTTGAAGACCCTGTCTAAGCAACCGGAAGAGCGTGCTCGCCTTCAGTGACAGAGGCAGAGGTGCTGGGGAGGCCGAGGCCACCGCAGTCCTTGGGTAACCAGTGTGCATCCTAAAAAGGGTATGGCAATTCTAAATGTCTTTAAAGCTATTTCCTTTTGTTTGACTAATTTAATTTACCAAATGCTCCTGGGAAAAGGGAGGGGGACCAAGATGCTGACTCCACATTTCCTGAAAAATCAACATTTTCTTTTTAAACTGCTCCCAAAGAAATTACATCTGATCATTGTCTGCTGGCTCCTTTCAACTCTACCTCTGTCAAAATTCTGCCCCGGCAGGTGCGAGAAAGAAGAGATGCAGAACTTGAGTAAATACCCACATCTGTTTTTGGAAAAAGGGAACAGAAGCAGCACAGAAGGAAGTAAAAGAGATAATTGCTGGCTGGAACTACAATACATTTTACTTGTGGGCAGAGGGCCAGCTTACAGCAGGCGGAATATGCAGGCCCATCTTATTGGAATTCAGGGGTGGGCCTCCTCTCTTGTCCGGAGACAGCTGTAAACCAGCAGCCCATAGCATCCCAATCAGGCACCGAGTTTTGTCAAGGAGTGCTGATATGGACAGAAGCAGCTTTGTCTGCTTCCGCTGCACCCCTGCCTGGTGAAATGACAGTCAATCTCTGATTCCAGATGACAAGAACTGGATAAAAACTTAAAACAAATGGCGACCTTTCAAAAGATTAATTTGTTTACCAACAAAATGTTCCCTCTTTGTCATCTGAGATGGGGGTGACCTTCACTTTCCCATATCTAGGCTGAAAGGATGCTGACTATAGTCATCTGTTAAGTTAACTCCATCTCAGCAATTATTCCCTTTTTTATTTTTAGTGACAAGAAGGGTTTATTAATTCACTCTGCTTCTTGTTGTGCTTTATAAATGCAACAAGCTCATTCTGAATTACTGCAGTGTAACATCAATTTGTTTAAATCTAATTCTGCCACCGTTGCCAAATTATGTTGTGACTGTAATTGTGGCCATATGCATGGGCTTAAAACACAATCACGTTTTGAAATAGCCCTTCTTCCCACCCCCTCCCCCTGGCCCCCACCCTTACTTCTGGTGTTTCTTCTAATCATTTGACATTCACACAATTGCCTCGCTTTCCATTACTTTATCATTTCAGAAATGAATGTGCTTTTAGTGAGGGAGATTACTATGTACACCCCAAGTGAAACAGTGAAGAATGAAAGCATGATTTGTGAAGTGTGGTTGCTACCCAACTAAGTTAGGGAAAAACACTGCATAACATATGACTCATAAAAATCTAAAAATCATAATAGTATTAAATTCAACCTCATGAATAAATAAAAGATTCTAAGTTTACATTGCATTATATATTTATTTACTTGGAAAGTGGGACCAAAGAACTAGTATAATTCTATAGCAACTCATATCTTGCCAAAAAGAAAAATGTTTTTATGATTCTTTTCTAGGTCATAACAGTTATAATCAGAGTTATTTGTGCAGCAATTCAAAGCAATGTTTTGTTTGGCTATTTTGTTATGCATTCATAATCGTTCTTTTAAAATTCATGTTAATAGATACATGATTCAAGCCTTTTAAGAAACCCTTTTATTTTAAAAAAATAAATCAATGTCAAATTTTCTTTAGATCTTTTAATGTATTGAATTGGAATGTCTAACTGGAGCTAAATGCCAGTAAGTACAAAAAATACTCAGAGAATTCTTCTTTTCTCCCCATGTACAAGGCCCTTCTCAGAAACCTGATAGAGGGATTATTATTATTGGGCACACTTAAGATACTAGAGAAATCATCAGTGAGTTTCACTTTTAATATTTTGCTGTAAACTGCTTTCACTGACAGAGTTAGTCGGATATAATGTGCCGAAGGCGGGTTTGTTGCAGGCGTGAGTGTGTGTGTGTCCATGCGTGTCTGGGATACGCCTGTTTTCAAGGCACAAATCTTTGCATCAGCCCCTGATGATCAGGAAGGATACACCTCTTCACAAAACAAAGAAATACTAGTGTTTCGGAGCTACTAATGTAAATTAGCTTCATATTCAAGTTTGCTCCATCAAAAAATGCCTAAGATTACTTACAGGCTTTTGACAAGCTGTTCAAGTTTCAAAAGCAAGGAAACACATGGACCTCAGCAGCCCAATAATAATCCCCTCTGAGTGTTTCTAGTCGTTCTAGAAAGCGATTAGCCTTGATGCTGCTTTTCTAATTAACTATACATCACAACACCAAACACGTTGCTTCAGTTTGGGTAAGTGCTATCAAAACATTTTTAAAAGTGGAAAACCACAACTGTATTTATTCCCAAGGGCTCTACCTGGTTGTTTGCAACTAAACACCTGAATATTTCTTTCATCCGGCTTTTTGAACAATGCTTCTGTTTTAATAAATCCAAAATGAAAATACTGTTTTTTAGTTACTACCATTATATATATATACATATATAAACGTAAAATGATAGGGTCAACTAAAATGTACCTAATATATATACATTTTTAAATGCTCTGGTGTAGAGTTTTATGGAGTCAAGTTTTATTTTTTTTAATCTTTAATAAAACAAATGAGCATACACCATCTATATGTCAGAGAAGGCAAGAAGCTTTCCCATATCCTCTGTTTCATATACATGGGCACAATGGCCAAGGTTGGGAATTAGAAAAAAATACATAATAAATGACTAAGATTCTACCTCAAATCTCAGATATAATTTTGAATTCCTATTTATGCCTGAATCATCACTCAGATTCATTAAAGCAAAGCGTAACCCTCTCTAAATCTGGAGTCGTGCCCTTTTAAACTTCAATAGTCATCAGAAAAAGTTTGCATGAGATGCGGCAGTTGCCTTGGGCTACAAAGCCTCAGCATTCCACCAGCTAAGCCAGTATTAATTCTAAATTGAAGGGGGGAAACCAACAACAACAAAAGATAAATCTGCTTCTGTCTCTACAGCCAGAGAAATAATATTTTTATTTCAAGGGCTTTGGGCTCATGGGAGCAGATAAAAATCCTTTCACATTATTCACAGTGACATTTTAAATAAAGTTTCAGCAGGAATAAAAATATCTAACTTTCTGGTTATTTCTTAGGCTATAAAAGTATTTCCATGATAAAGTGCTCTTAAACCAAACCTGTTAAGAGAACATAAAACACATATAAAGCAACTAAAAATATATTAGAGGGTTACATGAATGAAACGGGCAGTTGAAAATGTCTATGCAAATGTCTATGCACATTTGAAAGATTAATCTAAGAGGTTATTATACTGGTTAGAGATGGTTTTTCAATTTAATTCTAAAATTAATCCAGTGTTTAGTTTGACTTCACTTAAGTATACATTTAAGAGCTTTTGAGAGAAGCCAGAGGTTAGAAATGTATTTAAAAATGTATAGATGTCTCCTGGGTACTGCTTTCAGTATTAGAAATGATCTCAAATTAAAGAACTTCTGAATTAAATGAAGCATTACTCTTAATTTTCCCAAGAAAACCCCACAGTACAGACAGAATCCAGTCCTTGCTTAGGGACACTTCCCAGAACATCAATGGCAAAAGCAGGCGCGGACTCTGAGACGCCTTAAAGAGATCGCCATGTGATTCTCATTCCCTGTCGTCATTTTGCTGACCTAAAGAATCAATCCCTGCGTGGGTCAGATTTAGGATGGTTTTATTAAATGTCATGTGTTGTATGAGTGCATACCATGAAGCTGATACTGTGCTCATTTCCTTCAGATTTTTCTGGTGGTAAGCTTATTATCAAAGAAACAAAGTACTTAAAATTTCTCTGTTAATTCTCTTTGTTGTTAAATTCTCTTATCCTTGTTAAAATTATGGTACTAGACTATTTAGGAACCTCAAATAAAATGGAGAAATTTGAATGAGCTACCAATGGATCTTTTAAAAATAGGTTTACTCCTTTTAAGCATTTCTAATTATAAACAGAAGGAAAGCCACTCCATTAAACACTAAAGACAAAAGGATCAAAGTCTTTACTTAAAATCTACATTCTATCTTACATGGCTAATGTATGACTTTGAATTTTTGTAAAAAATTAAGAGCTCATTAAATCAACTCATTACTTACAGATGCTTTTCTCTGATTAATAAATGGCAAACTGATTCCATAGTGTGTGTTTACGGCAGCTCTGTGCTGGGCGTTCTCAGGATCCTGCATGATTTTTACATCCAACCCTATCTTTCGCTGAAACAAAGAAACAATGAAACTTTCATGCTGGAGGAACAAAAATGCTTACTAACATTTTACATCCTCAAAGGAGTATAAAGTTATTTGAAAATAATTATTTTCATGCAATTCTCACTGGAAAAAATATATATTTGGGTCTTTTATCTACGTTGTTAATTGTCCTCATTTATTCACAGAAAAGGAACTTTGCCGATTCTCCTCCGTGCATCCTATTGCCCACACAAGTGCTTCCTCAGACAGCATGTGTTTTCCCAAAAACAATGGTAAAAGCCAAGCAAGGTGGACAAAGGACTAGACTACCTGGTTCTGATTTATTTTTAGCTTCCCAGGTCAAGGATTTGGCCAATGAAATCTATACTACAAGTACACAGGTAGAGGGCTCCCTTGGTCTGTTAATGTGGCACTTTCCTCAAGGGACATTTACAGGTAAATGTCAGTTCGGACTCGGTAAATTTACCACAACAAATCTATTTACTGCTTCACAGAGATTTTTGCTCTGAATAGGAAAAATGTATGCTTTCATTAGAAAAAAATAAGTAGCGCTCATTTGAACCATGTGTTCCTCATTTTAAATAATTCCAATTAGTTACAGCTGAGATGCTCAAACACAAACCAGCAGTGTAGGCAGCACCAGGGGGGTGGAGAGGGCGCAGGAAAGGTCGGGAGACTTGGGCTCCCATCTTGTTCTCCCCTGGGCTGCCTGCGGGTGATCTTGGATAAGTCATCCTCCCTCTTTGGAAGTCAGTTTCTTTACTTTCAAAGTGTGACAGCTAGACTGGATGGTGTCTTCCCACACATACCCCCTCTCCTGCTTTGGCATTGCATGATTTGATGCCCAACCGTAAGTTGACACTTAAGACATACGGTATTACTAACAGTTTCTGAAGTTTTGTGACTTTCTTACTAGGATATAATTCACATACTATAAAATTCACCCCTTTAAAAGTGTGTAATTCAGTGGTTTTTAGCAGATTTACAAAGTTGCACAACCATCACCCCTCTTTAATTCCAGAACGTCTTCATCACTGCACAAAGAAACCTCAAACCCATTATCAATCACTCCCCATCTCCTCCCATCCCAGCCCCTGGCAACTACGAATCTGTCCGTCTCTTGGATGTGCCTGTTCTGGGCATTTCATAGGAATTGTAAATATGTGGTCTTTATAACATTTAAAAGGAGGCATTGGAAGCGATTAAAACACCTGATTTCCTTTCAGTTAAGTGGCTTAGTTCTGAGGATAATTTGATGCAATTGTTACAATGGCTGTAGGAATCAGATCAGTTCATGATCCAGGTATGTCTTTAATCCTAAGAAAGTATAAATCGGTTGTGCCTAAGATCAAGTGAAGGGAAAGACTACAAAATTATTTACAGAATGTATGCTAATTTTTTAAATTTTTATTTACTTAGAGGGGAAAGGAGGGAAAGAGGGACAGAAACATCCATGTGTGAAAAAGACATCAGTGGGTTGTCTCCCACCAGGCTCCCAGCTGTGGACCTGGCTGGGAACCCAAGCAGGTGCCCTGACCAGGAATTGAACTGGTTTCTGTTTGCAGGCTGGCGCTCAATCCACTGAGCCACGCCAGCCAAGGTATCTACTTATTTCTTAACACAGGCTCCAAACCTTTCTTTAATTTTTTTAATGGCAGTTTTTAAACCAAATCTCCAAATAACTGTACTCAACTGCCCACTTGATTTAACCCACGCAGGAACACAGGTTGCAAATAAAGCCTATTTCCTTTCCCTTAAAGTACACACAGTGACAACAATAATGTTGCGCTTCGTTATAAACAGGTTTCCTTCTGTGGCCGACCCACACTCACAGCACAACTCCAGGTGTCCACGTGGAAGCTCAGTGCCCCTTTTATTGAAATTAGTACTGGAACATAACTTTTTCTTCATTAAACTTTCTGAATAATTTTCATTTAACAAAGGGTCGGGATACTACTAATATGTATATATTGACTGGATGTGAATTCTGTAATCAGGATTGTTTTTTAAATGTGTATTATGGATATAATCAATGGTAATAACTTTATCTACCATGTCTAAGCTCTGTTAGGACTTTTTAGTTCCGGGATCACTGGTGGTAGGCCACAGCAGTTTTCTTAGTTTTATTATGCTCCATCAACTTTCTGGGACTCTAGGACTGCAACAGGGAAGAAATGATTGAGTATAGAATTATTGTTAAAATTGGCATTAAAATCCAGTTTTCTGCCCATTTTTACATTTCTGGCCCCAACACAGATATCTCTTGTAAGAAATCAAAATATAAAAAGAAATCCAACAGAAATGATGGGTTGTAATATCAGTTCTTTATTAGTTGGCTTCTAAGGCCATGGGAAATGTCCTTTAAAATTATTAATATTCTAATATTTACTCTTTTGGCACCAAAGGATGTACATACTAAAATAATATGTAGCATATGTGATTTAATTCCCCTTTTAATAAATCATGTAAAGGAGTCTATATCTAAATACATTAACATGTCAAATGGTTTCTCTGAAAATCACTATCAAATACAATCACAATCTAAATTTATCTTATGATTTTACAAATTACATCTATTGAGATTATAGGGAAATACTTATAAGCATAAGCTGCATTATTAGACCCAATTATAAGATTTTCCAAGAAAAACAATTATAGGTCTAAGAAACAAAAACAAAATTAATCAATCCATTAAGCAGGAAAAACATGCTCTGGAAGATGATCATTTTTTACCAACAGTAAGATAAATATCAGGAATAATTTCAGAAATTTTTCTTAAATTGGTCAAGAAAAGACAGCAGTTTACTTAATCTATCTTGAGTCACTAAATAATCCAAACTTCATATTCTCTCCTTTTGAGAGTAATTACAAGCAGATATATCAAATGTGACTCTCATTTAGACTTTGGTTGGTAAGAACAAAAGTTATTATCAGAGCCAATTACTGTTTTACCTACATGGCTGCACAGAGGCAGGGAGCTCAATTTTCATCTCATCAGTGGTTTCGTGGTATTTATTTTATTACTATGCCCACAAAGCTATATAAGAAAGAAATCGCTTATGCTATTAAAACTAGGGCTTAAACACAAGAGGCTAAGGTTTCTTTTAGAAGAAGTTCTGAATTAAAAACACTAGGCAGCGTGTAATGCCAGCTCCCCAGACATGGGCAGCCCATAAAATGACATACATCTGAGCAGTAGATCCCACACAGCGTAATCAAAATTGAAATGCTTTGCAAACAAAGTTGAGGCAGGCTATTTCCTAAGTTATAGTATTATCAGAATAACATCATTCTCAACCATGTTTGTTACAAGTAATGCCTTCTAAAGTGTATATTGCTTAATATCATGTTCCCGCTGGTTAAAGACATCTGCTGTTTAATCTCAAAACGAGAAAAAAAATCCAGTTTCCTTTAATACTCTGATTCTTTCAACCATTATTATATTTAATGGAAATACAAATTCAGGTTCAAGCTGTATGCTCTAGATTTATTTGTAAAAATGGTAATAATGCCTACCTTCACAGAGCTGTTTGTGAGGTTTAAATGACTAATGTATGCTAACTATCTTGCAAATTATAAAGTACTATTCAGTAGTCAACTTGCGAGGGGCTTCTACTCCTCAAATAATAACAGCAATAGATTGAAACACTTCAAATATAAAAAATCCACAAGTTCTTAATACAATTTCCCTATCTCCCCCTAAAACTTAATACAATTAATAATTTCATCTTAACTTTGATAAGTAAAAGAATCAAGCATTTATTCTGCTTTTTCTGAAAATCTATTTTTAAGATCCACCAAAGAGCTGATAAGGGAAAGTTCTTCATAGAAATTAATAAATGAAGGAGGAAAGATAGAATTATAAAACCACCACTATGCAATTCCTAATGAAATAATGTACAATATTTGGGTAAGTGTCCATAGTTGCTATAGCTTTAGGTGGAATGTGGTGGAGAACCTTACATAGGATAGATCAAACTGGTAATATACTTGGACTCACTGTTCTATGGTAACACCATTAAAAGAGAAAAAAGAATTTATCTCTGGATATGCTATAAAAGGAAAGACACAGCACCACCTATGAAGTATTCCTGCCAAAAAGATGTTACCCAAATCTGATCGAGCCTCTAGGTAAAACTAGTTTATGGGAAGTACTAGAGACAGAGGACCACTTAAAATGACACCAGGATTGCAATCAACCAAATTCTGACTGTGGAAAAAACCTGTGTGACAAGTGACCTAGTTTCTTCAACCAATAAATGATACTTTTTAAGTCAGGGAAACTGTTATAGATGAAATGAGATACAATTGTAATATGTGGACCTTCTTTGCATCTAACAGTAGAAAGTCAAACAGAGAAAACTGAACGTAGGCTGGGAATTATACAGTATTAATGCAGTGTTGAATTTATTAGGTGTGATCATATTTTTAAGATATATTTAAGATAATATCTGAAGTATATAAGGGTAAAATGATATGATGCCTGGGATTTGCTTTAAAAGACCTCACCAAAAAGAGTAGAGGAAATAGATGTCGTAAGAATGGCAAAATTAGGGTAACTGCCAAGGCTGGTGATGGTTGCATGGATTTCATTCTATTTTTGTGTCTATTCAAAAATAAATTTTCTTAATAAAAAGTCATATTCAAGAGTAAAGTATACCCTGGCTGGTATAGCTCAGTGGATTGAACGTGGGCCTGTGAACCAAAGGGTCACTGGTTCGATTCCCAGTCAGGGCACATGCCTGGGTTGCAGGCAAGGTCCCTGGTTTGGGGCACGTGAGAGGCAACCACACATCGATGTTTCTGTCTTCTCTTTCTCCTTCCCTTCCCCTCTCTAAAAATAAATAAATAAATCTTTTAAAAAAGTAAAGTATAATTCAAATGTAATTATTCATTATCTTATTATCTCTAAGTATGTATCAGGGACATGGGTGGGGAGCTCATACAGCACTTGCATGTGAGGCGAGGGGCAGGTGCCCACCCTGGATGTTGTGCATAGCTGGGAA